TGAAGACAAAAGACTTCATATCTAATCAAGAACAAATGAACACAGTTAACTCATTACCAATTAGCTGAAAAACACTGTTCCACTAAGGCTTGTTGCTCAGTAATATGGAGGGTGACCAAATGGTAATCATAAACTGGAAATTTTTAAAGCACTTACTATCTTTCGGTTAATAAAATACTCTCTATATGAACTGCTTTTATAGTAGTGATCAGAAGAATAAATAAGTGGAGATTTCTTAATAGGTTATAATTACTGTTCATTCATGAAGCTTTAGCGTATTTAGATTGATATCATGTATAGATCAACGTTAGACCACCATTGGAAACATCGAAGAAGCACTGGACAGTTGTTTCCTCCTAGTGTGTGACTCCTAAACAGTGCTCATCCACAATCCCACACGCGGGACTCTGTTGGGGACGATAGATCCCCAAAACTCATATTTTGTAATTTCATCTTATCGATTAACTTATCAATTAAATGTGCAAATAGGTCAATTGATGAACTCATTGATTAGTTTTTAAAAATTTCCCATGACAATATCGATCATATATATTTGTATATATATATATATATATATATATATATATATATATATATATATATATATATATATATATATGTTTTAAATTGTGTTTGTGGGCTCGCTCGTTTTCTGGCTGTTTGCAGAATATATTTTCCATATCAAGCTTGGACTTCTCCTTCTAGGTAGCGGTGCTGGAACGCATCAATAGCTAGATTACTGGTATTTGGTCACTGAGTCTTTTTCTCGTTCGCAGATTAAGTGAACTCGTGGAGCTTCAAAACCTAACAGACTCAAACCCAGGAACTTCGGTTTAGCGCGTCAACGCTTAGCCTCTAAACCACTGAGCCGGCATCCAACTGTGTTAATGTTTAACCTCAATCAATCCACGATATTGCGCGACCGTCCACCATTATCTTCAGTGAGTCATTATCTCATAACAGACCCGGTTGAGCTTCACTAGTTACAGCTTTTTTAATTGTTTACCGCAATCTAGAAAACATATTTTATTCACATTTACCAGAAAAATGCAACTATTTAAGTTGAATTCCAGATAGGTGGTCGAGAATTATTGATAGTCAGCACTCATAAATTTCGCTAATAATATACTCTCCTACATTTGCCATTATTCAGAAAACTATACACAGGATGCTAACAGGTTCGTCTAAATTAGTAGTTTTTAGATTTAATAAGTGATTATAGTAAATCTTAATTCCGTGGCTAACGGTTACACATCTAAAGCAATAAAATATAGCAAATATCTTTCACAATAAAAATATGAAAATAATTTAGAAAGGCTTTCCCAACTATAAAGTGAGGAGAGTAGCCGAAACATTTCAGATTATTTCAACAGTTGAAATCAGGAGTCAATTGAAGCTAGACCACCATGGAAAACCTGAAAGCACTCGACGGCCGTTTCGTTCTATTGTGGGACTCCTCATTCACGAACCCTCCTCGCGGGATCCGAACCCGGGACCTATCAGTCTTGCTCCGGGCGCTTAACCAACTAGACCACTGAACCGGCATTTTTCTGCGCATAATAAGAAAGAAGGCCTGAATATTCATCCAAGTTGAACTATTTGTCCAAACAACCACATCTGATCTTATTTTTTACACAATCCATGCATACACACACATATTTAGTTTCAACCACACTACTTAATTTTAAAAATGAATACATTTTTTATACCCACACTCTGACATACAAATTATTACAGTGACAGGTCATACAAATTCACCTTGACCAAGAATAACTTGACATTAACATATTCGGACCTATTATGATTTTGATTGACCCAAAAATATTCTGCATTGTTTCCTTTGTACCAGTTACACTTGTGTCGATTTAGCTCGGTTATTTATTTACTCTAAAGAAGTGGCTTACATTAAGTCACGAAACGTCAGAAATACAATTTTTCTACTCATTAGGATGTAAAAAAATATATTTATTATTAGTTTTCCACCCAATGGTCAATTTATTTAAAACTATCAAGTCTAACCATGGCATTGATACCTATGAATATCTTATATATTGCATAGTTAACATTTTTAAGTGACCTTGTGAATGGTATGCTTGACTACCACTAACAAGAGAACTGCTCGCTTTTAAATTTATATGTAACTCTAAAACTAAATAGAATTTACTATAAGTCTCCAATCGTTTCTGATTTAACACTATCGAATAGAAAGTCTGAGGATATTTAGGTACTACAACGAAATATCTGACTAATATGTTTTCGGAGTTGTTTTACTTACATCAAGACCATGATGTTTACTTAATAATGACTTAAACCTATTAAATATTGTCCAAATAGGTCTGAGAAGTTTTACAATAACATTGGAATGTACATACGTTCTAACTGATTGACATGGATACAACTGGTCTAATTTGTAAAACCATTTATATGCTTACTATTTCTAGATCTTTTGATACCATCTAAAGTTACTTTTAAATTGACCCACAATTAATTAAGAGTCCATAAAATTAACACTGATAGAATATTTCAGCTAAAAACAAGATTAAAAGTTGAATCTAGTCACATGGCATGTGATACACGCTAACTGGTAGAAATGAATAAATATTATGTAGGCTATTGAAAGTAGCCCGATAAGCTGAAAACATGAAACCCTATGGTATAGATTGATAATCAAGTTTGTACATTTGTACTGCGAATTTATTTATTTATTATTATCAGAATCGGGGGGGGTTTCCGTAGATTGTAGTAATCTCAATACAACTATCCAAATTACTACATTTTCCACAAATCCCCCATCCGAATAATAATCGTCGGATGTATACTAGTGACTAGCTTCAAATGTATTTCTTGGAGTTCTAGTGAGAAGCTGTGATCAGTGGAGTCCAATCCGTGTTAGGAAGAGACATGTATCTACCTCAGACAATGGATGAAGGGTCGCGCAAGATCATGGATCGATTGGAGCTAGATATTAACACCGCTGGATACCGGCCCAATAGTCTAGAGGTTAAGCGCTCGCGCGCGAGACTGAAGGTGTTGAGTTCGAGTCCCTCATGAGGATCGTGGGTGCTCACTGCTGAGGAGTCTCATATAGGACGAAACGGTCGTCCGTTGCTTCCATGTTTCCAACGGTGGTCTAACTTAAATCGACTCATGAATTCAACTATTAAAATTACTACAATCTCCTTAAACCCCCATTCTGATAACAAATCTTTAAGCCGAGAATGAACTGATATGTATAGTAGTTACGTGAACTATGAATTCGAGCAAAATGACAATATATATAACCGCCCTTCAAAGCTTTCGCTTTGTTACTTAGATGTTTGCAAAATTGAGTTTATCAGTTATTATGTGAAAAAAGCGCAGCAGTCACCAACTATAACCTAATGTAGCAGAAACCAAATTAGCTCTCAGCTGAGGAGGAAATTACGAAAAGACTCTGAAAGTGGATAGGACAATATTGCGAAAATTATCAAACTACACCGAAGGTAAACCCCAAATTGGAATCGTCAAGGTGAAAGGAAGAGAGGCAGACCAAGGAACACATTGGGTCAGGAATTGGTGACATATCAAAAGATAATAACATTTAGGAAAGGAGATCCTAGTACGGGATCGGACTGAGATCTCTTTTCGGCGACTTATGCTTCAGTGATTGGATAAATGTGACAGAAGTAACAGCAATAAACATGACATCATTTAGCCACATTTAAATTCTGATGCTTACTAGTAAAATAAATCATTGATCGCAACAATTCGATTCCAAAACAGCTGACAAAATGTAAATCTGCTTTTAATTCAGTGTAGATAAATACTACCAGTTTATCCACTCAAAACAGTTTACTGGATCATAAATCTGTAAATTTTGAATGTTTATTGAATTTTTGTTAATTGATAAATGAGATGCGAACCTTAAATCTAAAAGTTTTCGTCAGAAAGAGAACAATCCTAAACGTTATTTTTAATTAACACTATGAAATTCTTTATTGGCAGACTCGATTGTGGGCCAAAAAACAGACATGTCAAATATAGGAGTAAGCAGATCAAATTTATGTGTACATCCTTACAAAAACTCAAATCGGGGATTGCATACGCGATAAAATCTAAATGTTTTTGTGGAGAAACTCACTTCAAGTAAAATCTCATTTCCAGAATAACAAAATTAACTGGGAGGATTCCTATTCCAGCATGGTAAGATTAGAACGGTTTTAAAGACTTTCCATTATCATGTCGCCATAGACTGTATTCTCGCATTATTAAAAGTCATGAGGATTTTTATTAAGTATGACCTGGTTTCATTATTACTGTCGATTTAATTCACTACAGCCTAAACTGTAGATAAGTTGAATCATGAGTTATTAATATACATTACATTTTGTTTCTTACTGTTTCGCTAACACCACCATTCAAATTATGAAGGATGACCTCTAAGCTAACTAACCTGTGATTAAGATTACCTTGAAAGTCTAATGAGATCCATCTATTTGTGGTCATCAACGGCGTTAGTTTTTTGAATGACCACCTACCATAAATAACTCAGTCGTAAAGTTTATCGGGTAAATTTTTTACACAGCCAAAATGTAGTTGCAAAACATGACTTACTGGCTGCAAAATATGTGAATAACTCTTCAGTCAACTCTAATCACCTACAACGTAATACCGACCAGCTATGAAAAGCACACATCACAAACACAGAAGTCGACGAAATGAATAATGCACAGGGACTAGTGCTTCAGCACTATGTATAATTCTATAAATTTCACTATCGTCCTTATTGTCAAAGACAAAAATACGATATAAATGCACCAAATTATCGATCACCTAAGAACTTTAAGGTATTCAGCTCTAAATTACAAAAACATGGTCACCTATTTCATGAAGCTTAAATCAAGAAACACAAAAAACATGGAGAACAAGTAAAAAGGTGGGTCAAAGGTAAATTTATTTCAGGGTTTTATTGCACGACAAGATCGAGAATAAATATTACATTATTTACTTCATAATATAACTTAGAAGCATTTACGGTGAACAATACCAGGACCAGATTCATCATATTCTTGTTTGGAAATCCACATCTGTTGGAACGTAGACAATGAGGCCAAAATAGAACCACCAATCCAAACGGAATATTTTCGCTCAGGTGGAGCAACTATCTTGATCTTCATTGTGCTCGGCGCCAATGCAGTGATCTCTTTCTGCATACGATCAGCAATACCTGGGAACATTGTTGTACCACCTGACAACACAGTGTTCGCGTACAGATCTTTACGGATGTCCACATCACATTTCATTATTGAGTTGAATGTGGTCTCATGAACACCAGCAGATTCCATACCCAAGAAACTTGGCTGGAACAACGCCTCAGGACAACGGAATCGTTCGTTACCGATCGTGATCACCTGACCATCAGGCAGTTCGTAACTCTTCTCCAGAGATGAGCTGGATGCGGCAGTGGCCATTTCCTGTTCAAAGTCAAGAGCCACATAACACAATTTCTCCTTGATGTCACGCACGATTTCTCGCTCAGCTGTGGTCGTGAAGCTGTAACCACGTTCCGTCAAAATCTTCATCAAGTAGTCAGTCAAGTCACGACCAGCCAGATCCAGACGCAGGATAGCATGTGGTAGGGCATAACCTTCGTAGATCGGCACAGTGTGTGTCACACCATCACCAGAGTCCAACACAATACCAGTTGTACGACCCGATGCGTACAGTGACAGTACAGCTTGAATGCCCACGTACATGGCTGGTGTGTTGAATGTCTCAAACATGATTTGGGTCATCTTCTCACGATTGGCTTTCGGATTCAATGGAGCCTCGGTCAACAGGACCGGGTGTTCTTCTGGAGCCACACGCAATTCATTGTAGAATGTGTGATGCCAGATCTTCTCCATATCATCCCAGTTCGTCACAATACCGTGTTCGATTGGGTATTTCAGTGTGAGAATACCACGTTTCGATTGTGCTTCGTCACCGACGTAGCTGTCTTTTTGACCCATACCGACCATCACACCCTGAGATATAAGGACAGATAGAGAGAGAGAAACAGAGAAATAAGCATTCAAATCACACTTCACAAATGATATTTCATTGTCGAATACAGTTGGCATATACAAACAACAACAACAACAACAATGTATGATTAGAGTGATTGTGATAAGTGGTTCACAGTGAAGTAACACGGATGGATATCTCGATATCTTATCACTGTGTTGTAGGTATCACAACTATTCTAACCGAGACATTGTTAAGTACAATCCCTTCAACTTAAAATCACAATATGACTGTAATATGATAATAGATTAATACAATAAAATGAGAAATTGATTTGTTGAATGAATGTTATGACTGTGCTTACTTGATGTCGAGGTCGTCCAACGATGGAGGGGAACACTGCTCTTGGTGCGTCATCACCAGCGAATCCAGCTTTGCACATCCCTGATCCATTGTCAACAACAAGGGCTTGAACTTCTTCGTCGGCCATGATTATATTCCAACTTCAACTGTCGCGCAAATGAACAATTCAGTATGATAGCTTTACAATTATCTACTACAATTTATTCATTTTTATTTTTAACTTATATCCATTTATGGTCATTGAGGCCATATACTACCGAATAAGATTTTTTATTGGTGAATACCCAATTTTACAATTATCACCATTGATATATATGCAAGTTCCTGTGTGTGTGTGTGTGTATGTATCTATGTATATGCATGTTCATCTCTAATTCCATTCTAGCCAGATTCATTTCAGTTATTACTAGCAGAATTTTGTGCCCTTTTCATTGATTTGTATGTGCATATCTAGTGGGGAGACATGAATACGCATCTATCCATATATGCAGAATTCGAGAAATAGTTTTAAAATGAATTTCTGCTATAATTTAAACACAAAATAGTTTACTTATCAAAGGTCAAAAATATCCGAATGTATGCTAGAAAACATAGTAGATATAGTGAAGTTATTTCTAAAAAATAATAACTGTAAAATACTTGGATTTTTCTATTTGTTTCGCATAGTTAGAGTAATATGATCTAAGAAATACTGACATAATCACGTATACAGTATGATGAATAATCCTTAAACCTTTAAAAACGTGAATCATAATTTTAGATTATATCTTTCTGTGAATGAAAGAAATGGTAATTGACATTAGGGTTGAATTCATTACAAGCGTTTCTTTTCTCTAACATAAACCTTGATAAAGGGAAGTTTTGATATTGAAAAAACTTAGTTTTCCAACAGTAATTTATAAGCTATAATAAAAGATAATGTAGTATAACAAATAGATTATTCAGTTTGTAAAACTGATCTATTTGTCAGGACCCCAAAAATGTATATTTTTTGTGATGTTTGGTGTCAAGAGAGTTAAAGAGAGAGAGAGAGAGAGTTAAATTCATTTTGTATTGTTTGTTTGTATCTTACCGTAGATGTTTAAAACTGCAATTGATTAGTCACTTATTGAAATATATGCATCGGGCACGATTTGCTTCAATATTGCTTTAAGTCACAAATATCGTAATCGTTGGATCACCTTAAATCGCTTGTGTTCAGCAAAGTTTGTAGTAAGAAGTTTCATAATTGAAGATGATTGATTTATTACTCTAACTGTAAATATTTTCAAAGTACCTCAGTTGTAAAATTTGGGAAATAATTGTAATATTTTGTCTTATTTGTCTTGTTTTTGGTTTTATCTAGAATAAATGTTAACTCTACTTGTGTTTTTAAAAGTTCTGTGGATTACTTTACTCCATCTAAATGCGGTCGAATGTATTAAACACTACAAAAACTTGTAAGTTAAAAGATCATTATTGAGTGCATCTGAACAACGTCAACTGTTTTACAGAATAGATAAATTGAAATAAACTGTGGAATCCAATGTGAGCGTCTCATTCTGTTAGGGAATCGTCAGCTGGATGATAAGCAGGCGTTAATTAGTAAAGGATAATAATGATATGAAGTACAACCTATTTTTATTCAATATCATTTATGTTGTATCTTGAGTAATAGTTGGCACGGACTTATCGAGGCTTGAGGATCTCTAGTCTATATCACCTACTGGTGACCTTTTCCATGAATTTACACACGGAACGATTGACGACGAACGGGGTCGAAACGCTAGTTGATCATCAAGTCCATATCAAATTTCACACTTTAAGCACAATTATACTATAAGTGGTAGAGAGCGAAGCTAACAATACACAATCAATTGTCACTAATTAAGGAATGGTAAAATATATAACAACAGTTAATAGGTTCACTGGAAGCTTACAATAAGAGGGATATAGAAATATATCAATAAAGTTGTTTACTAATTATACAATAAAGATATAAATAGTAACAACAAACTGGAACACTGAGAGTTCTAGTTTTTTCAAAATTCATTCTGTATCATGCAATTAGTTTCCTTTATGAATTTAAATAAAGCCAAAACAAGAATTGTATAAAATGATATGAAATTCTAGTATAGGGGTCGTGGAGATTATTACGTTTCCCATTGAGATCATGAGCCGATTGATGTTAGACCACCTTTGGAAACCTGGAAGCACTGGACGGCCGTTTCGTCCTATTGTGGCACACCTAAGCAGTGCGCATCCACGATTTCGCCCATGGGATTCGAACCCAGGGCTTTCAATCTCGCGCGCAAACGCTTAACCTACTGGACCACTGAGCCAGCATCCAATGGTGATAGTGTCTAACGTATGAATTTATTATATTTCGTGATTTCTCATTAGAAGCTTACAATCATATATGTATTGAAATATAACATTACGGTAAGATATAATGTGGAACAATTGACATGGATGTTGGAAAGAATTATAACAACGAGAATTATCAACAACAGGTGTGATTTCATCGACTCTATCTAAAACGTCCCCATCTATCAATACAACTCATTTCAAAGATCAAGGATTTCGTTCTTTTTGGTAAAAACATTATAAATTCATGTTCTTACAGTTGAGTTGAGCACAAATTGCAACATTACAAATGTGAAATAATGGTATTTACAGGTGTCACGGTTCACATCTCACCAGGAAGTACTTTGTGTACTAGGTAGGATAACATTCAGAGTCTCATGAGTGAAGAGATGGTTAAGAGAAAAACTAAAGAAAAATATGATCTGATGAACTAGCAAATGTATAAAATGTATTTACATTTAAAATCAGAAATAACAGAGGCCTAAAATTTAGACAATTTTTGTATTGTAACTAGAAGCAAGTAGTTTAACCTGCTAAACAGGTTCATTTCAATTCTCTCACTGATTTACATTATGTTCTTTCTAATAAATGATAGTTCATATTAAATATATATTTATTTATTATCATTTTATTAGTTTACATTTGTGTAATTACGTTCTTATTCTTTTAATATGTAGAGAATTTGATGAATTATTCTCAGTAGTACTACCAGATTGATAATTAGTAACTTGGTGAATGCTACTTATTTTGACAGATATAAGTAGTATGCAACATCAGTCAGAAGTGGAATACCTGGCAGCAGAATAGTGAGGAGATTAGATTGGAGTGAGCAGAAAGGAAATCGGTGAGTAACTGTAATAGCGACAGAATTGGAAGAATGATGAAACATGAAAAGGATAACTGAACGAAGATGTGGAAATAATGTGTTTAATGTATGGTTTTCATATATTACCAAAGCACTCTGTAATCTTGCATTGGACAATAAATTGATTATTCCCACTAAGTCTGTGTTCACTTCGGTAATTTTTCATAATTTCGTAATATTGTGAAATAATTCTATATCAAGGCAAAGAATTAGCTAAGAAACGAATGCTCCAGATGTTCGATTTATTAGACACATCAAGTTATCAACTTATTAGCGCACTGGGAATCTTCTAATTTTAATGTTTCGATTACCAGATGGTCTTTGAATTCTCATTTGTATATTGTTAATAGTTGTCACTTATGTTATGAATGCAGTATTAATCGATGTTTAGAGAGGATTCGTCAATTATAATCCTAGTTATCATTTCTCTACCTATGAAGATACTACTTCAGTTACTTGTAGAATTCTTAGCTTTGACAAGTTATGCATTTTGACTGGCAAGGGTGACCTTGAAATCAGGCAAAACAAGCTTAACTCACATTGACCTGTCAATACAAACGTCTTTTTCGATCCCTTGGTAATGAGTTCGAATATGGAAGCACTGTTATACCTTAATTTCTAGACTTTGAAGACTACCGAGATACGAATATTTAATAGATTTAAAACTTCAAGTCAAATATAGTCGATACCAAGTAGGTTTCAGGATCAAATAGGAAGTTATTGATTGCAGTCACAAATCTAATAAAATATTATTTTTTAAAATACAAATGTAGAAACGAATTCATTAAGGTATCTTGGAGTCCAGAAACAAAAATAAACAAATTGAGAGCAACAATGGAAAGAAATGATAATAGTTGGAATTACAGACAAATCAAGATCAAAGCTTGAGTAAAACAAATATATTAGAAATCAGTTTTTATAAAAAGAGTTATATTAACAATTTTAGTTTATGTTCTATTAAATTCTCCGAGATTCCCTCGCAACAAACACAGAAGTCAAGCTTCTACTATTTATGTTCCAGACACTCAGTAAAATGAACTATCAAATCACAACGCACCCGAAATTATCTTTTACACAAATTCATACCATAAGTTAGGGGAAAGCCAAGGTCCTCAAAATCAAAACGGAGAACAACAATCCAATAACACTTGATGGCGAAACTCTGGAAGATGTAGAATCCTTCACATACCTGGGAAGTATCATCGATGAACAATGAGGATCTGATGTAAACGTAGAGGCGACGATTGGAAAAGCAAGGGCCACACTCCTACAACTGAATGACATATACAACTCAAAACAACTCTCTGCCAACCAATATCAAAGTCACAATCTTCAATACGAACGTCAACACAATCAGTTCTACTATACGCAGCTCAAACTTTCAGAACTACTACAACTATCATCAAGAAGGTACAAGTATTTATAAACAGTTGTTTACGCGAGATA